TTGGTATTTGATAGATATTCGGTAAAAGGGGGAAAAAAGAAAAAAAAAAAAGAAAAGAAAAAAAAAAAAAGAAAGGAAAAAAAAAAAAAAGTTCGGTGTGTGTTTAGGTGTGTTTCAAGCTGGAGTCAAGGGCAGAGAGGGAACGAGGAGCTCCAGGCCATGGCCGCACCACCATGGACAGCGCCCCGGGGCTGGAGCGGGGCCACGGAGCTGCCCCGGGATCCATCGCCGCCTCCTCTCGCCGTCTGCCGGGTTCTAGGAACCAGACAGAAGATCTGGCAAAGCTCTCCTCCTCCTCGGTTCCACGCAGCTTTTTTTGTGGTGGTTTTTTTTGGGGGTTTTTTTTTTTTTTTTGGTTTTTTTTTTTTTGCTTTGCCCCCATCCCGGCCCCGCCCGCCCTTTCTCGAGTGCATTAAATTGAATGCATATTGTCCAAATAAACGGCTTCGTTGTGTCAATAGCTGGGCTGGGGAACTCCGGCCGCCCCCGGGGTGCGAGAGGCGGCTCTGCTCAGCCACTCTAATAAAGGACATTGCTGTGCTCACATGGAGCACCACGGAACGTCTGGGGCTTGCTGATGGGGAGGGGGGAAGCGCGTTTCTCCTTCTCCACGAGCAATCCTGTCACTCAGTGCGAAGATGACACCATGTCAGACGTGGAAGAAGGAGTTTCTCATTCCCGACGGGGAGGCAGAGGAGAGGAGAGCACCCTTCATAAGCACTGCATAGCACAGCAGGGCTGGAATGAGTGTGTGCTACAAAGTCTGCCCCAATCTGCGAGCAATTGCACCGCAGCCCTGTCCTCAAGCCCACCCTCGGAAAAATATTCCGGGGCTTCGCACCTCGCCTGCAGAGAGCCGAGCTCGCTGGTTTTAACCCCGCCGGATCGGAGAGGCTGGGCAAACCAGGGGATTTCTGGTCCTGGCAGGACGAGTGCAGCGATCCCTGTGGTGCCGCTCCCTTCCCATCCCCGCCAGGCTCTGCAGCCTGTGTGTTTTTGTGCTGAACACCATTTTTTTCCACCCCGGGAAGGCTGGGGAGGTGAAACTCCCCGCCTGAACCGAAGCCCTGGACGGGTGCAACTGAGGTTATAGAAATCCGGGAGGGGAAATGACGAAAATGCTTTATTGTGAATAAAACAAGAGGGAGGAGGGAGAGGCGGAACTTCGCGGAGGTGAGGGATGGGAAGTTCGCGGAGCTGAGGATTTATCCCGTCTCCGAGCGCCGGGCGGGGGTTTAGTCATTATTTCCCTTTCTCCCTGGGGCTGCAAGGGCATCTCCTGCCCTGAGAGCTGAACCTGCCCCAGCCCTCGCTGGGTTTTGTTTCGCTCCTTGAGCGGCTTCTGGGGGCAGCTCAAGGCAGAGCCGCTGGCCCTGTTCCCCGCCCGGGAAAACCTGGGAAAGGGACTTATCTCTCCAGCCAAGCTCCCGGGTCAACCTCCTCGTAGAAAAGCTGATTTATGCCTGTTTATACGTATGGAAAAAAGGAGGCAGAAGCCAAGCGCGGCATCCCTCCAAAATCTCATTGTGTTTGAGGCGGGAAGACGGCAGATAGTGGAGTCAGAAAACTTAAAGTGATAAAGTTTGCCTTGTCGCGGCGGAGAGGGCTCGGTCAGCAGGGCAAACACGGGGTTTTGCCTCACCTGTGCACGGCTGGAGCCTTTCCCGGGGCAGACAGAACCAGGGGCTCTCCCCGCGCATCCCGGCTGCAGAAACCTTTGACAGCCCCGCAAAGGTGTTGCGGGATTTTCCCGCCCCAGACGCCGGGCCAGCCGTGCCCGGGGGGCTCGGGGAGCGCAGCCGTGCTCGGCACAGGTGTGGGGGGTGGAATCCTGAAGCTCCCAAAGCCGGTCCGTGCCCCAGCCCAGCCCATCCCTTCTCTTCCCTCCGAGGCCGGGCACACCGGGCGATGCTGCAGGTGGAGCATCCCCCGCGGCATCCTGCGGGAAGGGAAGGCTTGAACCGCAGCTGAGGGGGCTTTTGTGCCCATCCTGCCCACGGAGGGGGGCTCAGGCTTGCGGTGAGGCTTGGGACCAGGATTTTGCTCACGGGAACCAGAGTTTGCTCCTTTGTGTACGTGGCAGGTGACAAGGCGCTGCTGCGCCCTCGGGGAGCAAGGAGGGCATGGGGTTACAGTGACTCTCCCAAAATCCTTTGGCATTGCTCAGCCCCTGCCGGATTAGCACAGCCATAGTTGGGTTGTGCTAATGTTTTTTTTTTTTCTCTCTTCCCTCTTCCTTTTTTTTTTTTTTTTTTTTTTTCCCAAGCCCACTGAGGCAGAGAAGAGGCAAACTCAGCCATAGGAAGGTGGTTAGTGATGTCACAAGTTTGGTCTTTTCAATAAAAGCAATGGAGAAGGGTCTCCCTCACTATATATATTAGGGGAAGCTTCTGTTCTTCATAATAAAAAGAGCAGCAAGGGAGAAAAGCACCTGCTTTTAGCACCCTTTATTTAGCCTTTAGCTGTTACAGGCAGAATCAAAGCTCTGTAGACTGGATTTTTGAAAAGCATTACCTTTATTTTTTAAAATTTTTTATTCATTTATCTTCTTTTTTCCTTCTTTTTCTTTTTTTTTTCTTCATTTTTCTCCTTTTTAAGCATAGAACATAGTTTTGGAAGCGATTGCTGAGAAGAGCAACCACTGTTGGCCAGAGTGATCTCTGAGAGGCACAGACAGCTGTAACTCAAGGAAAAGGTGAAGTGATAAATTGAGAAGAAACTTCAGGATTCTGAGTTTATAGAGGCTATTTACTTTTCCTGAGTCTGTAAAGGATGATGTGTGTTGGGTTTTTGGTGTATTTTTTTTTTTTTTAAGAATTCATTTCTGGGGAGAGAAAATTCTAAAAATATTTGATGGAAATTTTACTTTTAACATGAGCAATACACCTTATGAGTTTGTGGGGGTTGTTTTCTGGGGATGTCACGATTATTTTTAATTAGTCGAAAGGGCAGTGTAAATCAAAGACGCCTATTAGCTAAACATTTTAATTTATAGCCTACCAGGCGTTCAGTTCAGGGAATTTATTTCCAGCACAAACGATTTAACGTTTTCAGCATGATTTCTATTTCAGCCTTTATGCTGTTTTATTTGCCTGTGCGGTGTGGAATCTGTGCTTTTAAACCGCGTCAGCTTAACTTCAAATAACCTGCAGGTAGAAAAACCGCTTTGCTTTGCGCCTCAACCCTCCCGGAGCGCCTGCATTGACTCGGGGGCAGGATGAGAAGGAGCCGGCACGCCTCAGTGTGCTTTGTTGCGGCTGGTGAGGGTGTTGGGAAAGCATTCCCTGTAAATCAGGCTGTCAGCGGCTCCACGGGCTCCGGGAGCATCCCGGGATGCTGCGGTCACGGAGCGGCGCTCCCAGGTGTGCGGGGAGCTGGGCGAGCAGGGCTTTCCCTCGGGATGGGGCTGGGGGCGAGGGCAGCGCTGCCCTGGCTCTGTCCCCGCGTCCCCCTGGAGCAGCGGGGCAGCGCCAACAGGCTGGAGAGGCGTCACCTTCGCTTTCACAGCGGTGCTGTCCCGGCACGGAAAAGTTTGGTGCCTCCAAAATTTGTGTCGGTGCCCGCCGTGTTTCGGGGCTAACCGGGTTTAACCGGGGCTCCCGTCCCAGCGCAGCCCCGCGCCCTGGCCAGGCTGAGAAGCAGGGCGAAGTGGAAGGCGAAAAAAAGGGAGAGGAGGAGAAAACTTTCCACTGGTTTACTTTTTTGGCCAGGAGCGCCTGTTCATAGAGCGCGAGTCCTCCCCCCAGCCCTGCCCCTGCGCTCCCTCCCTCGCCGCACAATTAGCATCATTAGGAGCCGACCCTCCGGCTAATAGGGGAGCGGCGAGCAGCCACGGTAGGTGCAAGGAGAGGCGGCGGCAGTCCCGGGCAGCGCTCGGGGGCTTGAGCTAAAAAGCGCTCCCAGCGATGGGAGGAATCCCCGCGGCAGGGGAGACGCTGGCCCGGGGGTAAACGCAGAAAGGGAGAGGTGGAAGGTGAGCGGGAGAGGAGTGAGGCTGCAGGAGGTGCGGAGAGCTTGCTCGGAGTGCTCGGGTCCGCTCAGTGCGTGTGCTGCCGGGTGTTTCCCTTTCTTCGCTCCTCTTTGGAGCAGCGCTGACTCCCAGTCTCCGTTTTGGCCGCGGGTGTCCCGCCCGGGCTCTCGCTCTCTCCGCACATGTTCCTAGGGCGCCATCTCTTTGCAAAACCCTCCGTCCTGCCGCAGGTCTCCCAGAGGCTGCTCCGGAGCGTGTGAACATCGCGGGCTGCAGCCCAGTCCAACCTGCCGAGCCAAGCGTGATTCCCGACCCCTTCCCAGCCCGACCTGCCCGGCCCCGGAGCCTCCCGGGGCTGCCGCTCCTCCCAGACCGCTCGGGCTCTCTAGATCTCTGCTTGCTTCTCTCCTTGTCACCGCTTGTCTCTTTCCTTGTTGGGGACCAAAACTTTTCTGGCAGCTGGAGACGCGAACCTGACCCTTTTTTTTATTTTCGCTGAGGTATTACTGAAAGGCAGATGCGGGGATGCGTTCCGCCTCAGCCTGTGTGTGTGTTTTGTGTGTCCGCGCGTGTTTACAGGGGAGCGAGCAGCTGAGCTGACTTTTGGGAATCTTTCCTTATCTGCAAAGAGGGCTTCTGCTGTAGCATAAAGCCCTGAGAGGGTGGCTCAGCGGACTAGAACTAAGCAGCGCTCAGGGAGCTCGCTGAGCCCCGCTCTAACCCTGCTCAGACGAGAGCTGGATGCTTTTTGAACTCATACCGAGAGAGATCTTGCCTGCGGGCAGCGAGAGACAGAGAGAGGGAGGGAGGGAGGGAAAGAGGGAGGGAGGGAGAGGCAGACAGCAAGGAAGGGAGAGAGACAGAGCGAAGTTTGGAAGGAGTGAGCCGAGAGCTCAGAAAGTTTGTTTTTCCTTCAGAGCCTCGGAGCTGGTAGAGCCGGAGCGGGGACTCCTTGAGGACGGCGCTGGCGCATCTGTCCCTGGGGACTGACCTCTCTTTCCTTGCAGGTTTTTAAGCCCCCGAGGATACAATGTTCGCTAAACTCTTCCAGCAGTGGAGTTTCGCAGTGTTCCTGCTGAGTTATTCCGTGCCCTCCCACGGGAGATCAGTCGAGGGGATCAGCCGCAGACTGTGAGTTTCTCTTTTTCTTTTCTTCTTCGCCTTTGGCTTCTATCCGCCCTGGCTGCGGCGGCGGGGCCGTGGGGAAGGAGGGAAGGAGGGATGGAGGAATGGAGTGATGGAGGGAGGGATGGAGAGAAGGAGGGAAGGAGGGAGCCCGGGAGGCTCCGCAGCGCTGCCGGCTCTGTGCGGGGCCGGCCCGGGTTACCTGCCCGGGTTACCTGTCCCAGGTGCTCACCTGAGAGCCAGGAGGAGGCACTGGGGAAAGAAAAGGGCGTTTTGCAGCTGTCTGACCTTACAGAGCTCCGGGAAAGGTGATGTGAAAGCTCAGGGGCTTCTCCTCCCACACATCTGGGTGATTGTTGTGCAGCTGCCCGGGACCCAGGCAGGGAGCATCCCGGTTTATCCAAATGCTGTGTGTGTGTTACACTGAATTACAGACACTTCCCGGGCTCTGGCGTGGAGCCAATATTGATAGGGGTAGGGGAAACATGCAGAAATGAGGGCCATCGTGACACTGAGGTACTGAACAATTCCTTTGGACTTCTCCCACTTCAGGGGGAAAAGAATCCAAAAGGAGTCCAGTATCTTACTTATAGGCAGAGGCATAGTTTTTGATAAATGATAGTGTAACTTAAGACAGTCTGTTCAGGAAATGACCTTTTTGCTTCTTCCAAAACAATCAGCCTGGTTTATAGTAATAGCCGTACACAAAGTGCAGGAGAGGGCTCTGTGCTGATGCAGGAGCAGCTCTCTCACACATCCAACTCGCTGGCTTTCTCTGGACTTGCATCAGATTTTCTAAGGAAGAAACACCTCAGCCACACTGGGGAGGGCTGTATTGTTACTCAGTTCCAAAGGAAGCCAAGTTGGAGAAAGAGTGCCGGAAAATCCGATCACAACTTACAGGGAAACATGACACAGCAAACAATTTCAGATGGGTTTCCTTGTAAATGTTTTATTGCATACATAAAGAAAAGATCTCCAAATAGCATTTCCTCTGCCAGTTAAGCAACACACATAATAATAATAATGATAATTAAAAAAAACCCCAAACACCCAAAAGAAAAAAAAAATAATTACCCCAGGTGAAGCGACTTCAGACACACCTAAAGTTTGGCACCAGGCAGAGAGCTATTACAAATCTCCTACAGCAAATTGTGTAGAACATGTTATTGCTGATAATGTTACAGTGTATTATTCTCAGTCCATTAACTTTTAACTGCTTTGTACTCCTGAAAGCTCTTCTTGGGCTGTTTCTTTCTTTTGGGACCATATTGTATAGAGAAATCAAACTTCAGTTTCAAAAATAAATAAAAAAAAAGAAAATACTTGAAGTGCAGTTAGATGCTGTTATTTTCTTGGCTAGGAAACTCTGAACTGGATCTAAGCCAAAATTGGTTGTAAAAAAAAAAAAAAGAAAAAGATTTGCAGAGAAATACTCTTTCTCTTTTTGAAGTTAGCGCAGTTCTAACACTTGTTTTTAAAGGTCAGGATTAGAGGTCTTCCCAACTTCCCCATTCTGTCCTGACAGGGGGGAAGAAAAGTGTAAGCTAACCAGTGAAAAGGCATTTCTCAGCCCCCTCTTTGCTCTGGCATGTAAAACACACGCGAGAAACCAGTCAGCTGTCAGTTAGTGGCATTCGTGTAGTTTTGTTTGTGGGCACAGCACAAACACAGACACCACACTCAAACATGTGTCCTGTTTTAATATCACCACAAACCATTCCTAGAGTTAATGGTTAATAACTCATTTAGGCTTCGAGATTTTTTTTCTCTCAGTCAAAAACTTCAGCCAGTAGTGGATGAAAATACTGAAGCACATTATTATAGACATGCAAAAATAATCAAAATTACATAGGCCTGGTTCTACAGGCTTTGCTGAAGCAAATATCTCATGGCAAGCAACAGTAAATTTTCCCAAGAAAAGATTTCCAGACATGTTATTTGTTATAGGAGTGCATTAGCTGCTAAAGAACTTCTGAGAAACCAGTAATGTCTCAAAATGAAATTACATATTTTTATCGTCATGTCCAGACATCGCAGCATCGTGTCCCTAGATCTGTTCAAAATATTTTTGTGAAGCCTGAGATAGGTTGAGCAGATTTCCCTCCCTTTGGAGTCAGTGGCAAGGGCGCTCACAGTCTTGCAAAATACAGAGAGCTGACTGAATCCTCCTCAGTTATTTTGCTGAATTTAGGATCAGACCCAACATGAACAGTCAAAGATAATAACAGCTAAATAAGAGCAGCCCTCTGAGATAGAAAGTGGTAGCTTGAAGAATGTTGCCTTTTAGAAATCCTGGATATCTCAAGGAAAAAAAAAAAAAAGGAATGTGCCTGAAAAGAGCAGCTTATCTGGAAGTACGTGAAGTCAGGATAGTCACAAGTCATGGATTTCTGCTTCTCTCCCCATGAGGAGACACTCAGCCTCATGTGTACACAGTGTACTTGGATCCAGTCATTAGTTTGGATGCTCTGGTCAAGCACAAACCATCATCATCCCTCCCTCAAAAGTGTCTGCCACATGCAAGCTTAGCATTTACTGCTCTTGGTTTGAGTACAGGATCCTTCTCCTTGGAGGAGAGGTGTGTTTTACAGAAGGATGGAAGGGACCTCTAGTGGGTCATCTTAACCCTAACAGCCTGATGTTTTTTTGCATATTGTGGCCACTATATGTGTGAATGCAATCATTGCAGCCTCCATTGCCTTCCTGCTGTGAGTGTGTGGGTGAGATATTGTTGATATCTCCATTATGAAGCACTCCTTACATCAGTCCTCTTGGGCAAGCCTTTCTCCATGGCTTACAAACCCAGGAGTTGTTTGAATAACTGAGGCAGAAAGAGGCAGGAGGTCACAGAGATATGTATCTACCACATCTTTGTTTCAAGGAGGTTTTTTTGGTCTAGAGTATACAAAGGAAGCTGGTAGGCAAAATGTAATCCTTAAGTCTGGCTGAGTAATAGAAGTCATGTGAAATGTAACACTACATAATGTTATACAATCATCTGGAATAGCAGAATGTTATTTGGGGCCAGACTTGATGCTAAATATCATACAGACATTTAAAGAGAAACCTTCCCTCTTTGGCACACCAGTGCCTCACACGTCAATCCCTGCATTATTTTGGAAATGCATACTCACTCAAGATGTAGATCTTGTAATGCTCTCTGACTGCCTTGTGTGTACTGGAACCAAATGTTTAGCTCTCAGCTCTGTAAAATGGAATAGGCTTTCAATCAAGAGGACTTTAATAACAGGCTTTGGAGAGTCGAGATTTTGTCACAGTGGGGAAGTTGACCAAATACACATTAGAGGATTAAGGCAGCTTTGGGTTGTCTGTGATAGAAGGAATTATCCTTGGTAGTTCACAAGAGGCAGTAGGAAAGCTTTGCTCATCACATGAGACAGTGGTTTACACTCCCTAAAGCACAGGGATTTCATACACTTTCTATGAACTAGGAGGGTGAAAGCAGAACTGCATTTCCCATGGAAATTTGCTGAGAAAACAGACTCCTGAAGCTCAGAATGTGACCTGAGTCACACTGGACAGCCTGACAGGCAGCACAGAGGCAGTCGGGGTGAACACAGGGTGCTGGGCTTGCCACTCAGGCTGACCCTCATGAGAAGGGTGTTGGAGATGGCTCTTGTTCAAAAAACTTCTTCTGAGGCAGATCACAAGCTTGTGCTAATGGTCACAGCTGCAGTGAAGGGAAAGACAATATAGGATCAGCTGAATGCATTATCACATTGCATTTTTGCTTAGGGACATTTAGAAGAGGGGCATAAAATATTTGTCCTAAAGGCTGAAGTCATCCAAAACTGATTTTGGGACACTTAAAACACAGACAATATTTGATGGCATGTGCACTCACCAGCCTCTGTATGTGCAGAGCTGATTTTGAGCAAGATTTTGACAGTCATCTTCCAGTCTCATTGTGGAATGGGGGAAAGCTGCTGTTTGAATTTTGCACTGAGCAATAGAGATGTAGTGTCACTACAATCCATCACTTGAACCCAATACTCAAAAAGTAAATTATATAATACTCTACAAGACAGAAATTGAAGGGGATGCTCTTAGAACAGAGCTGCTTGAAATTGCCAACTTCCAATAGCTCTGCTGTTGATCAAGTCATAAACCTGACGAGTTTGGCTGAGGGGACTGAGAAAGAGAACCTGCAGAGCACTCCCAAATATTTTGCATTTTCAAATCTGGAAATGTAGCAGGAAAAAGAGGGATGGGATGGAAGGAATATTCACTCTCAGTGATGTGTCTTCTCCCAGTTCACCTGCATGCAGAAACCACTTCTCATCCAGCTAACTGACCAAATGATTGTAGGACAAGCAAGGCAGTGAATGGATTTTCTTTGGCCAGTGAGAATCCAGTCACATGCCATATCCTGATGCAAGAGGAGAGATTCCATGGCCAAACTCTGCATGCTGGAGTAGAGCAATTGGAAGGATAAACTGTATTATTGTATTCATGGGAACATAGCTAAAATCCCAGCTTGTGTTCTGTCTGTGGTTCTCAGCACAGCTGTGCATCTATTCCACTTCAAGAAAAAGGCATGTATTTTCTCACATTTTCCCTGGTTATTTATTATCCAGGTGTCATTTGTAGCTTCTTTCCTCAGATGTTTAATACATTCCTTGCCAGTACAACATCTCTAAAAGACAGATAACTACTCAGCTCCCAGTTCCTTGAAAACAAGGCAGAGCTCAGTGTACCAAAAGGTCAGGATGAACTCTGGAGAAACCACTCTAAAAAAACAAGGATGCTCCTGAAGAAGATCCAGTGAAGAGGGTTAGCATAAAATTCAAACAGCACAGCATACAAGAAATTTGGCCCCAAAAAATTCACACTTCAAGCAATACTAGGAGGGCATCTAAAACAATAATTAGACACAAGTGAGCAAGCAGTAAATCCACAGGAGTGGCTGATCTGCTGATGCTCAGGCTGCCTCCTTGGATAGCTCATTATGGACTGAAGTGCCTGTGCTTTAGGCGCCCAAATTAAAATATTTTTTCCTTACACTCCTGCATTTGCACTTATTTCAATGTAGGAGTAAAATGCACTTTTATGTGCTTGTTTATGTTTTTGAAGTACATGACTGAGCAGAAGAGAATCACTAGAATGATGCTGTATAAACACTGCTTCTGGCTCCAGCACAAGTGCTGGGTTTCCCCTCTCTTGCTGCATTATCTGACCCTTTAGTTTTCCTATCTCTGAGCAGGAGAGATAGGAACTGCCTTCCTGCTTTTACTGCCCCAAGTGTGATATATTAAGAGTCATGATGCTTTCCTAGAACAGGGCAGTGACTAATCCAGCTCCGGTGGTGTGTGATCGGTCAGCTGAGAATTATTACCCGCTTAGGTCTTTCTCTTCTCTGCTGAGAGCAGCTGCTCTGAGGATGAAGCAGGACTTGCTCCAGCACTCTGGCTTCACTGGATGGCTGCAAGCCTGGTACATGGTCACTGTGGCCACCACAGCCAGAGAAGAGAGGAGCTTTGCCAAACACTGGGCAATAACCAAATCCTAAACATTTTTTCCCTCTCCTCTCTTTTCTTCCTTTAGCAAACGGGCTGTATCAGAGCACCAGCTACTGCATGACAAGGGCAAGTCAATCCAAGACTTAAGAAGAAGAATATTCCTCCAAAATTTAATCGAAGGTGTCAACACTGCAGAGATCCGAGCAACGTCGGAGGTGTCGCCGAACCCCAAACCTGCCACCAACACCAAGAACTACCCTGTCCGCTTTGGCAGTGAGGATGAGGGCAGATACCTCACTCAGGAGACAAACAAATCACAGACCTACAAGGAGCAGCCCCTGAAGGCGTCAGGGAAGAAAAAGAAAGCAAAGCCTGGAAAACGTAAGGAGCAAGAGAAGAAAAAGAGGCGAACCCGCTCAGCTTGGCTAAATCCCGGCTCGTACGGCGACGTCGTGACCGAGAGCCCACTCTTGGACATCTCTGTTACTACACACAATCAAACTTTAAGGTAATTCTGCTGTATTCTTTTGGGGAGCATGCCATGTGTTTAACTGAAGTTGTTATCCCTTGGTGGGAGAGGCTGAGGCCAAGGCCTTGCTCAAACTGGGGGTAAAAGCAGATTTTTGTGCTTGTGACTTGGCAGTGACTTTTCAAGCACAGTCTCTGCAGGTAAGTTCCTCTTCCACCTTGCACTCAGGACAGAGCCTTTCTTTCCTATGAGACACAATTCACATAAACAACTTATTGCCAGAATCTGTTCCTGAAGCTGAGTAGCAAGTGAAGGTAATTCTGTAAAAAGGAAGCACATCACAGTCACTAAATTTTCCCTTCCTGCTTTAACCGTAGCGTATCTCACATCGTATCTTGGTCCCACACTTGGGCCTCAGCAGATTGAAAGCTTTGACTTTTATTTAAGGCTTTGCATCCATAAAATGGTGAAGTTTTCTCTCTTTCCTCTCAACACCTCCCCTTTTTGGCAATTTTCCTACCCTTGCTTTACAGTTTTTCATTTCACAGTTTAACCTTAGGGGAGAACATGGAAAAATTTTCTCTCAGTAATATCTGCAAACAACGCAGACCGGCCTTTCACCATAAAATTTTCCCTGCCATTAGGATTTTCTAATTCAGCTCCATCCTTTTGCCAGCTTTTACATTGCTGCTTAAAAATGTTTGGCATTGCTCTTGGAGAGGGACAGGCTTCCCTCATGCATGACAGTAAAGGGATTTTAAGGCAGTGGCCTGGAGACATCAGCCTAGATGTCCCAAGTGAATCATTCCCTTGCAGTCAACTCAGCATGAGTGGAAATCTGCACACTTAGAGACAAAGCCAAGGGTTCCACTCTTCATTCCTCCTCAAATGTTTGCATTTTGCCAGAAAATCCCCATCCTTTTCTCTCCTCCTGCCCTTCACCTTGGCAGAACAGACATCTGAGCAGTGCCACTTGCTTGCAGCAAATCCCTTGGAAAGAGACACCAGCTGTGGGATTTACTGAAAATCCAGCCTGAGTTTAGCTTTACAGGCCACAGTTTGCAATGTTTGCTCCATCACCTCAGCTCCTGCTGGCATCTATCTACAGGAGCTGCCAACACCTGGGGCTGGGCACTCAGACCATGGGCCAGGATATCACAGACCATGAGCAAGGGTATCCCAGACCATAAACCAGGGTATCCCTGGCCATAGACCAGGGTATCCCAGACCATAAACCAGGGTATCCCTGGCCATAAACCAGGATATCCCAGACCATAAACCAGGGTATTCCTGACCATAAACCAGGATATCCCAGACCATAAACCAGGGTATCCCAGACCATAAACCAGGGTATCCCTGACCACAAACCAGGATATCCCAGACCATAAACCAGGGTAACCCTGACCATAAACCGGGGTATTCCTGACCATAAACCAGGATATCCCAGACGATAAACCAGGGTATCCCAGACCATAAACCAGGGTATCCCTGACCACAAACCAGGATATCCCAGACGATAAACCAGGGTAACCCTGACCATAAACCAGGGTATCCCAGACCATAAACCAGGATATCCCAGACCATAAACCAGGATATCCCAGACGATAAACCAGGGTATCCCAGACCATAAACCAGGGTATCCCTGACCGCAAACCAGGATATCCCAGACCATAAACCAGGGTAACCCTGACCATAAACCAGGGTATTCCTGACCGTAAACCAGGGGATCCCAGACCATAAACCAGGGGATCCCAGACCACAGACCAGTTGGTATAACTGTAGCAGGTAGGAGGGAAGTCAGGGACACTGGTTTGTCTCAGCACCTTAGGAAAGGCAAGCTTCAGGATTCCAGTCAGGAGGTTTCAACAGATACCAAGGGGCTGTGTTGGTCGGTAAACAACACCTGTCTTGAGCACAAAGAAATCTAGAATGTAGGAAAAAACATCCTAGGGAATTTCAGCAGTTCATTTTCTTGCTGTGCTGCCTTTGGTGTCCATCTAATGGGATATATAAAAGAGCCACAGGTACAACCCTGCTGATTTTCTCAGTTCAGCCTTTCCGTTTGAAGTGTGTCTGGGTGGCTGAAGGCTCTCAGTTCTACTGTGGAGCCCAACATCCAAATGCAGCATTTCTCACAGATTCCTAAAAATGACCTGCATTTTAGACAATTAATTGGAGATTATTAAACAAGGAGAATCTCTTTAAAAGGAAGAGGGAATTCCTCCTTCACAAGTACAGAGAACATGTTGATTCAGCCCTAACAAACTTGTAGTACCTGAGTTTTTAGTAATCTCAGAAGGCTGGCAGAAGATGTAAACTTTGAGCATGATTTTCACAGTATCTCTGTGCTTCTTTTCTGCTGAACACCCTGGATTAAATCTTCATGCCAATTGTCTCTGATCAGTCTTGAAAACAAAATTTTGGGTTTGGGCCCAAAAAAAAAAATGGACAACAATAATATAAAATCTAGATCTTTTGAGTTTCTACAAGCAGTATCTCATGGAAGAATCCAATCTTGCTAAACCTAGGTCCAAATCAAAGAATGCAGCTTGCAAATTATCATTAGTACAGAGCCCACTGTCAAGATGTGGCTTAGCTTAAACTTTAAAACCAAGCCTAAAATCCAGGCTAAAATGAAAATGTCACCCTCCTAGAAGTAGGCTTGAGTAGTGCAGACACACACACATACAGAGCCATGCTGTATTAATTATGTGCCATTGTTACACCTTTTGGAGTATATCCTGAAATGGACCTTAATATTGTTGGAGGAGGAGCTTCATGCTAGCATTTCCATCCCAGGCACTTTCAAAGTTATTTCTCATGGACATTCCAGCTATATTTCCATTTAAATTAAATTAAGATGCTCTTACTTAATTTCCAAGAAAACCTTTTAAATGGATAAACTCCCAAATGATAGATGTACCCTCCCTTTTAATGTGCATGTTAAGAAAACCTTTTAAACTCTCCAGGAGCTGAGTTTTGCTGTGTCTCACATCCCACGGGCTGTTACCCCCAGCTCTGATGATCAGTCCTGCAGCAGAGGGAATCCCCACTCCATCCTGTATCTCCACATTCCACCCTCGGGTGTTTCCCAGGGAACCCCTAAAAAACACATGTGCTCACAGGGACAGGAGGGGAAAAAGCACCTCAACCCTTCAGCATTTCCTGCAGCACCTCGTGTTGGAGTACAAGGAATCCACTGAAAGCTCTGCTTTGTTCTCATGGGGAGAGAGCAGCCTGCAGCATCCCCTGTCAAGCTCCCAGCTGATTGCTGGGTGCAGCAGGAGCTGCAGGGTGGCAGCATGGCATGGTTGCTTTCTCTCAGGACCAAGCTGTCTGGCTCCCAGAGAGAAAGGTTCAGGATTAGAGGGTTCTCATTCAGGATTATTTTCACTCAGTCAGGCAGAGGAGGAGATGCTATCAAGGGTGTGCCTGCTCTGAGCCCTGAGCTTTGCTGACACACACCACAGCCTAAGGGGTGGTCTATCAGTGGGAAAAAGAGACCAAATAAACTCCATGGCACTGTTTTAATCAGAACATGGCATGAAACCCCAGCAGAATTAACAAAGACTGCTGAATTATTTTTTTTTTCCAGCACTTGACATTTTTATCACAGGGTGATACAATTCTTCTTGCTGTAGCATCACAAATCTCCTTGCATGAGGCTCTAAATAAAGAAAAAGAAAAGCCCCTTTCCATTCCTCTGAGGGTGACAAACTGTGGGTCATCACACTCCTAGAGGGGTTGCATTGAGAAAAACATAACAGAGGTCTTCAATAAATGTCTAAAACTGTGTCATGGTCAAACAACCACTGGCAGATAGTTACTAGCAGGGCACACCTGTTACAGTCTGTGGCACTCTTGATATTGATTCTATGTGCACACATTTGAAGTGAAAATTAATTAATTTTTCTGGTTTTCCTGTCCCTTCTTGTCTTTGCAGGAGGCGCTGACATTTTCAGCAAGAGATATTTGGAAGACACATTGCAGTATTCTGTAATAGTGAACATATGGGAAGTATTAAAATATTTATTACCTGTAAATATTGTAAATGCTCAGAATAAAACCTTTTCCCCCCATTTCCCCAGCTCTCTGAAACTGCACATTTGGTTATTGTGAATTTTCCTTTTTTTTTTTTTTTTGGCTAAGGCTAAGACAATTATTGTTGTCCCATTTACCATAATTTATTTTGTTGACTGGTGTATTTATTTTGTGAACGTATCTTGGTGCTGCTGACTTTCTATATTTTTTGTAACATAATGCACTTTAGATATACATATTGAGTACATTGATAACTGACATAAAATGTTCCTGTTTTGTGGTTGATTTCAATGAATGCCTACATACAATTGTCCAAACTGATTTTCCTTTGTGCATGTATAATAGCAGTATTTTAAAATTTGTAAAGAATGTCTAATAAAATATAATCTAATTAAACCATGACTCAGAAGGAAAAATGCGTTTTTTGGGGAATTTCAAGGGCAGGAACAATTCTTTTATATTTGCTACATCTGAAAATTGTTTTAAATGTAATGCTGTTTACATTGGTCTAAACTCCCACATTTTCACATTAGCTTTCACTTAAAGATCACTCAGAACGTGTTTTTGTTCCAGTGCTCTATTTTGAGTTAGCTTGGTTGCTGAACAACCTGGGGGTGGAGAAAAGGTCCCAGAGCAGGGAAACAGATTCCCAAGCTGGCCAGGCCCAGAATCCCAAGTTTGGCTCTCCATGGATGAGACCAGCTAAGAGAGTCTAAGTCTTCAGATCCTTAAGACTTCATATCCACTGGCTGAAGGAAACACAAGAAAAAAGTCATGGTCTATCACTTTTTCTTGCTTTTATCACTTTCAAATCACAGCAGCTGCTGTGGGGGCAACCTGAGTAAAGGGGAATTGTTTCACAGAGATATCTGAACTTTGCAGAGTCCAACTGAATTTCCTCTGTCCCGCTCCTTCCACACCAGCAGCACCAGAAAAAATGCAAGCATGGAAAAATAAATTACAAATCCTGGGAATTTTGAGATAGTTCTTGTAATTGTTGCT